TTTTTAATCTGCGTTCTGTAGGAGTCAGAATGACTCATTTCGATGTATGAAGGCATACTGCATAAAATTTTATATCAAAAAGACAAACGAAAAGGAAAATGAATATGGAAATGAATAATGATTGTAAGAAATGTCAAACAAATCATTTTGACCCCCCTTGGTAGATCTAGCGTTAAACATGATACTACGTTGATCATTTTTTACCAGGGGTAGTACAATGAGATAATGCAGAGGTGGGGAAGTACTTTCAAGCAAGAAACTTAACAAATATCCTACTAACTTAAATTTTCCATCAGATTTTAAAATTATTTTCCGTATTATTGCTATGTTAGTTATTTGTAACTTAATATTATCATTTTTTTATTATGTTCCTTTATAAAGTAATAAATTCTTCTACTAACATTATTTTTATTTGAAGTGGTATTTAAATATGTAGTTGTTTATTAAAATTTAAACATCTGGATGAATATATACATATATATGCTTAAACAAATAAAAATACCTATAGTGAAATATAAAAAATTTTAATGGCCTCCTTTATTACTACTTAATGTAAATATGGCCTCTAGTGGTAAAAATGTTTCCCACCTCTGAGATAACGTATCAATTTAGAACAGGTCCTCCTCTGGAAATTTGTTTCGACCAAACGTTTGCGATACTATTAGACCGTGACACAGGTTGGTTGGCCCACTTGGCCGTCCGGCTCGCGCGCACGTCTTTATTTACCCCTTTCGATTCTGTTGCAACCCGGTAATCTTCGACCCTTTGTCCCCTTCACTTTCGATCGTAGAGTGTCATCGGCTGGGCCAGGCCGATGGTGCGACGCGACAAAGAAGTCGATTGTCTATCCAGCTATTCAGAGTCAGTGCAGACGCGCGAGACCCGAACGACGTATACGTTGCCGGTGCACACGGGTAAACGTTAATAAATATCGGGGACGCTCTTTCACGATCGGAACCGCGCGTCAAAACAATGAAGAAAGTTTGTTGCACGCGCGGCTAACGGTTTTCAAAAGTATCGCGTTCCTTTTTTCCAATATCCAGTTTTAGAACGTCGAATAATAGTCAAGGACTAGCAGTCTCGCGTTCAACCTCTTAGCTGCTACATGAAATACGACATTCACGATTTCAAGTAAACTTATATTGTCTATCTTCTCGTCAAGTTTTTCGACGCAATAATTTATTCGTCTATAATTATTTTGGAATACAATCGCATCGTGGAAAGTAGCAGCCGAGACAGACTGCGTCGCTGTCTCGTTTAAAATGCAGCCGTAGCTAAGAGGTTGACAGTCGGAAACGGAAGAGGCACCACGACGTCGAGAGGCGTTGATTCGCTTCAGCGTGGTGTTTTGTCTTCCAGGACGATACTGGACACGAAGTACGGCCTGAAAAGGTGGCAGATCGGGGAGATCGCGAGCAAGATCGGGCAGCTCTACTACCACTACTACCTTCGCACGAGCGAGACCAGCTACCTGCACGAGGCCTACTCGTTCTACGCGGCGATCCGCGGCCGGGCTTACTACAGCCGAGCCGCGAAGGAGGACAGGAGCGAGTTGATGGTGAAGAAGCTCAGGTACTACGCCCGGTTCATCGTCGTCTGTTTCCTCCTGAACCGGATGAAACTGGTCCGGGAGCTGGTGCAGGAGCTGGACGCCCAGATCGCCGACTACACGAGCACCTACGAGCCCGAGGATCAGCTCGAGTGGCATTTGGTGCTGGACGAGATCAAGGCGTTCGTGAAGGCCGAGTCGGCCGTCGAGGTGATCCACTCGGACTCGAACCCGGTGATACTGACCTACAGGCTCGGACCGCAGACGTCGCCGCCCGTCGAACGTACGCCACCCATGTGCCTATCGCTGCAGGAGATCTTGATCGTCGGCAACTGCGCCGACCAGGTGAAGTTCAGTGAATTGTCGATGGACATGTTCAGGATGCTGCAGACGCTCGAGAGGGAGCCGAGGGACGACCCGAACCACTTGCACGACGCCTCGCCGGCCGGCAGGATGCCGTTCAGGCCCGGCGCGTACCCCGGCGCCGAGAACGGGGCACCCAGGCGGGACAATCCACACAAGTACCTGTTGTACAAGCCCACCTACAGCCAGGTACAGGTATTCCTAGCGAGCGGGTTCAAGGAGCTGCCGGCGAACGGGGCGCTGTTGCTCTACTTGTCCGCGGACGGATGCTTCTCCACCGTCAAGCACCCGGAAGAAAGTGAGTGTTCGCTTTGATCGCGACCGATCACGCTTCCGCGAGTACGTTAGAGCCTTGGCTGAGCCGTGCCGTTTTTTCTTTTTTTCATCCCGCTGATCTTCCGAGTTAGAATCATTAGGTCGCCGCGTATGAAACGTCTCCTTCGAGTACTGCGGGTTCACTTCGAATGACTCGTCTCTGCGTCACAGGGCGTTCGGCCTCTTGTAAGAAAAATCTCGAGTGATGATCGTATGACTAAAAAATTGTTTTTTTTTATTCCTAACTTTTGCCTCGTTTCGGCTTCTTATTAAATTCGCGATTCACTATGAGAAACGATACGACGTTTCATACGCATCGATCTGATAGCTAGGCAGGATTTAGCTGGTTGCTCTTCTTCATTTCGTTTCGCTGTGGGTTCTATTTTCTTGAATTCTCCGATTTGAAAACACTGGCTAGGATCGACCGCCTGTTCCTCTGTTCTCGCTGTAAGATCTGAAAATCACTCGGTGTACAGTGTTCGCTAGCCAGTCGATTGATCAAAGCACCGTTGAAAATAATTCTCGCTCGAAAAAAAACCGGTTGGTCCTCACCGTCGATCGGCCAAAAATTACTTATCGCCGCCGTTGATGCACGGCTAAAGCGAATCACCCGCTCGGCGAAGCCGAACAGCCAACGCGTGTTCCCGGTCAGTTTCCTCTAGCCGGTAATCTAACCGTGGAACGGGTTTTCCGCGTTTCCCATCGGCGGGAAAACGGCCGTGAAACGGATAAGCCGTGTCGCAACAGTGGATACAACGCGGATAAACGCGCGTCTGGCTAATTGGATCGACCAGTCGGATCATCGCCTTTCTCTTATTCGCTCGAGGGCTTCTTTCGCGTAAGATCTATCATCCGACTGTCTGTTGATTTTTCACAAACTAAATCGTGCCCCATCCACGGCGAGTCGATCATCTCTTTAACACTAGAACTACCGGCGATTGACATACACTTCTACCGGAGGGATCAAAATAATAATAAAAATAATAATACTTTATTTCACGGACTATTTGCAAATTTTAAAAAAAAGTCATAGAAAATTTTAGAAAATGTACTGAAAATGAATAATGATTGTAAGAAATGCCAAACAAGCAATTTTGACCCCCCTTGGCAGATCTAGCGTTAAAATGATCGACGATTTTATTCCCTCTTAAAGAGTATGAACGATCATTTTCTGTCTCACTGTATGCGATTCCTTGTGCTTAGGCTAGTCATCGTTTAGAGCTACTCGCTCATAGATTAGGAAGATATATCTGATTTCGCAATAGAATCTAGACCGAGCTGCGCTAGCATAGTTTCCAAACTTCCAACTATAACTTAAAATGAGAAACGCGAATCTTCTCCGACGTTCTGGCGACTGAGAGATCTCGCGGCTCCCTGAGAATCCTAAAAATAATCCGTCACGCTTTAGAAACACAGGACACTTAAACAATAATAATAAAAAAAAGAAGAAAACATGGACAATTGGTGTGTCCTTCAAAAATCGCGGCGCCTTTTAATTGGATTCGCGAAAAGATCAGCAGGAGACAACCGCTCGAGCGGCTCGAGTATGCGACTAGAAAGAACAGACCGGCCTGTTTCGTCTCCGAGTTCTTTTTTTTTTCGTCTTTAATTAGTGCCCATCCTCATGAAACTTTCATGCGGATCGAAAGAAGACATCGTCGAGTGGCCGACTCGCGAGATCCGCGCGACCGTGACCCTTTATCGCCGTTGAATTAACTAAATAGAAAATCCAGGTCGTTTAGATGGTTTCTTAATGTTACGCGTGCCTTCCTCGAATCGTTATTACCGGTAAACCGCCGATTATCCCACAGAACGTTATTACATCAATTACACGAGGCATTTGTGAACCGTACTGACCACTGGCAAACAGTTTTTACCCGAATACAATACGTAGTATGTAATAAAGTGACAGATAAATGAACCATGCAAACTTTCAAAGTCCGAAATGCTATTAGACATGCAATACACTAAATCGTTCTTTTATTTTTATTTTTATAACAGTTCTTATCCAATAATATTACGTTATTGTCGAAAAACTTTTTGCCACGGATGTTCCATTCGCAATTTTTTTATTTCATTTACATCACATTCTGTCCCTGGATTCTGTAAGAAAAAAGAACAGATCTGTCTTTCAATTAGTTTAGATGATCGATATTATTATTAGACTGCGGATTTTATGCGTTTATACGAAAATGTACATATAAAAAATGTTTGCCACGTTGAGAAATCTGCAAGATATTAAGAGTGCCTATTTAGAATACATCCTTTTAACCGATACCTTTTGCATAAAAATCCGCGGTCTAATTATTACACGTTCATCTTTAATCGACAATCATTGGTGTGCGAAACGCAGATCGTTGTGCATTGCTTTCGGTGTCTTTTGCGGTCGTCTGTTTAATTGTCGCATGTATGTACGTTGGAGCGCGTTACGAGAGGAAGTTTCACGGACGCGAGGTGAGAGCCGCTGCGAATCCATAACCTTCGCGTGACCCGTTTTCATCCGTAAAAACCCCGCGAAACGGTCTCTCAAAAATTTGACCGCCTACTTGCAAACCGTTCTTTGTGCCTACCACTCCGTTCTTTGTCGCGGTCTCCCTCCAATCGAGCAGTCTCTCTCGGTCACGGGTTACCTTGAAATCATTCACAATCATTTCACTCCGCGTATCTACACTCCTTTCAATCGATTTTCCAACTTGCCACGCGTTGTCTATCTACAATTCCATAACGTTTTACTTAGACGTCAAGTGTACAAATTAAACTACAGCCTTTTCTCGATAAATTATGTCCGAACGTCAGACATCCAAATCGATTCGTAATGATTTTCGCATTTATTTATGAATGATCTTTTAGATATGAATTTCGCAATATTTATGATGAAATAATATCGAGAGACGTTGTGAATGATTTCGAGGTAATTCTTCGGACGCTCGAGTGTCGATCAAATGGCACACGTGCAGCGCGTTGAAAAAAAAAAGAGATTCGGTGTGAAAAAGAAAAATCGACCGAAGGTCGACGATGCTGAAAAATTCAGTGAGACTGACCAGCAAAGGAAGCCGCTATTCAGAGCTGGCCGTAAGCGGCGGTGTTAAGGTTACAAGCCGGTCTGGAAGGCGAAAACGGTCTTTCAACGAAAGTAGAGTAGCGCATCCGTGTCAAGGTCATTCCGCGATAGAGATTCCGAGTGCACGGCCACCCGGTCGCGGATTCTAACTTCGCTATCAATATCGAGATGCACCGTCGATCATATCCGCGGAGATTCCTCCGGTTTCTTTTTAAACGACTCTTCATTCGAACAGTCCGTGGATTAAACAAGCATCGGTAAAGGGAAAGCGGGAACGGTTCGCGGTCAGGCAGTAGAGTTCAGTAGAAACAGACGCGACTGGTCAGACACGCGGAGTCAATCGTTGATCACTTTCGTAGACGATAAGACGATTATGTCATCGATATTTAAATATTATTTGAAGGAAATTGAAACGATATCCACGGTTTTAATCTCACGAAACAATTATAATAATAATAATAATAAAACATACTTTCGATACATCTTCGTGTGAAACGTTGCAAGATCTCGTTCCCCCTTCTGTAGAAAATCGTGCCCGAAATTTAAATCGCGCTCCTCGAACAGGTGTTTCGAATTCTTTAACGTCGTCTAAATAGGCGAGTGAAATTCATTGATAGACCGCAGATTCTTTGCGTTCATATAATTATAATATTAAAACGACGAAGGAGACTGTTATCGTAAATGCATTTTTATAACAGACGGTTAAGTATGAGCATTTGGTTCTGTATAGAAATCCGCAGTCTGTTCATGAACGTTCGAAACGTTGAGATCTCTTCTACTTCCTGCGATCTGTCGTACTCCGGGTTCGCTAGAAAAAAAAAAAGAGAAAAAAACGAGGCGACGAGGCCAAGGAGAGGAGAGCGGGTCGCGGCGCTCTCGAGGTTCTCTGACGACGTGCCGCAGCCACGAAACCGGAATTGCACGATGTTGATAAACGTTGCGATCTTGCAGTGGGGTACGACCTGGGCGGCGTGTCCACGTGCAGCAAGAGGGACCCGGAGCACGGTAAGAGGCCGACAGGTGGCAAGGAACCCCACTGCCTATATCCGGGTGACCTCTATCCGTTCACCAGGAAGCCACTGTTCGTGGTCGTCGACTCGGACAACAGCTTCGTGTTCCAGCAGATACCCCGTTACTTCGGCCAGCCGTTGATGGTGTTGATGTCGCCCCAGGACATGCCGCCGACGTTGCGCGACGTCCGACAAGGCGGCAGCCTTTTCACCCTCTTTCTCCACGCCCCCTTAGCCGCGTTCTGCCTTATATGCAACATCGGCAACCTGGCCGTGCACCACTGGGAGCGGTGCCAGCGTTACATCGAGCAATTCCTCATCGAGGCCTGTCAGCTCGTCACGCGCTCCAGATGCGGTAAGGATCCAGGACGTTGTTTTTACCACCCGGTGGCCAGAGAGAACCAGAGAGAGCTCTTTCTCTTCTAATTGGATAGGGAACGGATCGGTGAAACTTTCTTGGCTCGGGACCTCGCAGCCTTCGATCGCGCCTGTTGGCCGATGAGAATATTGCCTTTCGACAATTTATTAGTCGACCGATTTTCCAATATTCGGCGCGAACGATAAATTCACATTTAAATTTAGTAAACCATAGAACCGGCGGAGTGAATCAATGGTGTAAGTCAATGATCACGTACGGTGCGAAACTTGTACAGTCTCATCTTTATTTCGTCAACGATGAGATTAATTTTGAGACTGGAATTTCGGTAGCGTCAGTCGATAGTCGCGCACGGTACAGAACGTCTAATCTAAAGCCTATTCTCCGTCTCGCGAACGAAGAGATTAATTTTAAGAGATTAAATTCTCGAGTGTAAACGCTCGTAGAGATATTTTAAAAATCGATCCCGATAGATGACGGAGATCGTCTTCTCGGTTCGTTCACCGGGTAGCCAGGACGCGGTGAAAGGGATTTACGATTGCGTTCAGACGATAAACAGAGCTGGCCTAGATCCAACCCGTGTTTATCGCTGAACCGGCAATCTCGCCCTCGTAGACGCGTGATCTAGGGTCCGCTACAAAGAGCCACTCCATTGTTCCTCCCGCGACAGCGATATGTCGTGTGCGAGTTTTGAACATACGAGTGGCTTCCTTTGTCGCGTATCTCCTCCCCCTTTCTTTTTCTTCTGTTGGTTAAGTAAAGCTTCGCGCGGATACAATTCGTTGTCCTAAGAAAGTCTCGATCGATCGGTCTGAACGTGATTCGTTCACAAGTTCCACGACAACAGGTACTCGAGCAAAAGCAACAGTGATATGCAAATTTATTGATCGTTCATTTGGATCTGGAGACCTCGTAATTTAATTCGACGTCGACCATTCAGTCTTACAAATACAATAATTAATAACAATTTCAATATTTATTTCATTGTATAAAAAAAAAAATGCCTTCCCATGCGACGATCTGTTAGAAATTTCGAGTTTTATAAGAAATTGAATTATTCTTGGGGAACTAATATGTATCTTCTATTTTTGGTAACTTAATCACTGATTTGGAGAATCGGTTCACTCGAGACACCGTCGTCGTCGGCTTTCTTATCTGGCACAAGGGTTATCAACGCTTACGTAATCCCTGTGAGAAGTTTCTTAACCCTTGTTCTGCATCGAGGTCGAGATAAACTCGCTCCGAACATTCCTGAAAATCTTAACAGTTTATCTGATCGTTACACACGTACGGACAGGCGAGTTACACATTTTTGAGAAATCAAATGGACGTCGAATCGTTCGACGTCCAGCATCGGAATGCGACGCGCGCTTCCTAAATATCTCTGGAATGGTATTTCCTCGAACATACAAGTGAATCGCGTTCTAAATCTTCCAGTTTATAGAGTCCGCATCGATTAAACGACAAACCGATCTGTCCCTATCAATGTCAAGTATTTGTCTCAAGATTTCATACGATCTCAATCAGGAATTGTGGATGACATTCAGTCAAAAGTTTTACGAGACGATGTTTTCATATAAAAATTCCTTTATCGATTTTGGAATGTAAAAAATGAAAACCTGATGTCCCGTTACCGGTCGACAGAGACCAGCGTGTTGCAGTTCTTCGGTGACGACTTCCTGCGACTGTTGGTCGTCCGGTACGTGTTCTGCGACGTGGTGTTGAACCTTCACCGATCGTTCAGGGGTCGACAGCAGAGGCCTCGCTGCCATCCACCGTTGCCGGACGCGGAGGTCCTCGAGCACCCGAACCTCCATCACCTGGTGTTCGAGCTGGCCGCCTGCCTCGACTGCCGCGACCACTTCCCGGACAGTAACGAGCTCGCCTGACCCAGGCATCTACCCTGCCCGGCCAGCCACGAGTCCGCCTCCCTTCTGTCGCCGTACACCCACGACTACGATTATGATTACTGTAACTACAACTGCAACAATAAAATCGTTACGCTGAGACCTCATTAAGCCGCGCCTGACGAAACGGCGAAAACCGATGGAACAACTAAGAAAACGAGGACGAGGAAACAGCTCGTCACTCGGTATCGTCCCGACGACGACGTCTCAGGGTAACCCGGCGTCGTGCTCTCTTCGCCGTCAACGCTCGACGGCCGGGGCTCGATCGGGGGTCGAGGGGGGTGGATCTCGCAAGAGGAGAATGAGCGACGCCGGGTACGTTTCTCGCACGCGTCGCGCGAAACGCGTGAAGAAGATGAGAGGAGGAGGAGCGCACGCATACGCGCGTATACATACATATGTAACGAAAGGGAAGAGAGATATTATTTTCGTGGACTCGTCGTGTTCTCCCGTGGACTCTCGTTCTATGTTACACCGCGACACACCGCTGCCAGTTTTTTGCTACAGACTAGTAAACGAAACACAAGAAATACAGAGAAAAAAGTCTATATATATATAAATATATAAATATACAAAAATATATATATATATAAAATATATGATATATATATTCTGTCACTGCGTCGATGGTAAAAAAAAAAAAAAAAGAAGGAAACAAAACAAATAATTATACGTATGAGAGGAATAAAAGAGAACAAAGACATTGTGATTTCTCAATGCATGATGTATAGACGAGAGAAAGAATGAATTTGTACGCACTGGTGCTTTGTACGATTTTAAGAAGCTTTTAGCGTGTTATCGAATGAGACTCGGTTCGGTTTCGTGTATTCGGTGATTTTTCTCGGTTACTCGATTATCGAACAATATCCGACTATACGCAGGCCACGCGCACCCCCTCCCAGACCCTTCTCTGTCTGTCCCTGAGAAAAACGAGAAAAATTAACAAACAAATAGAAGTGGAAAGACGAGCGATCGTTCAAATTGCCGGTCGATCCATTTATAATGAAATAAACGAGTATTTCGTTTAATCAACACGAGAACATCCCGTGGACCTGTTTTATCGTTAGACACTGGCTCGAGATTTCGCGATCTATCGATGCATCCACACGAGTATACACACGCGTGCCACGTACACGAATACAGAGCACACGCTCTCCGTTGTATTATCCGTGATCTCGGACTTGGCGATTCTATTTTCGTTGATGTCTCCGCAGATTTTCCGGCTCTCCCTCTCTCTCTCTCTCTCTCTCTGTCCCTCGAACAATTTCCGTCACCCACGCAACGTTCAGTTTTTCCTCTAATTGTTACGCAATTTCCTTTCCGACGAGACGTCGCAATACAGTAGATAATTCGAATTCAGAAATTTTAATATACAATTTCTTCTAAAGCGTAAATTTCTACTACTCTTATTTTCGTCTAATCGATTCTTGATCTTCTCAGCTTGTCAACTTTCTCGTTTGCGGCTTCGCACGGTATCTCGTCATAAAGAGCCAACCGCGAGGCTCGTTTATTTATAAGCAAAAAGTAGAGCGGCCAAAACGCGCTCGAGAGAGAGAGAGAGAGAGGAGCCCTCATTGAGTCCGAGATGACGATTACTCCGAATTGAACGAAACTGCTCTCCGCTTATTTAGCTCACTAGGAACACTGTTCGATCGATTATTTAAAGAACACGAGACGCTGGACAACCGTTAACTAATGTATCCAACAAATTCTTCAAATTCATTTAGGATAAACTTATTACATGTAAGATAATTTGATAGTGTTCCTAGTTAAAAATAAGGAATAGGATAAAATCGCAGAGATGAACGAAGAGGAGGAGTTCCGAATGGACAGCGCTCGCGTGTACATATGTAAAATCTAATCTTTATAAAGAAACGGCAGGGTAAAAGAGAAGGTAAACGAAAACGAATGAGAGCAGAATGTGCGCCATGGATTGCGGATTTTTATACAGAATCAAATTCTTAAGAGAAGGAGAGAATACGTAGAGATTCAAATATTTTCAACCCTCCGTGCTTGTCTTACCATTTGAGTTTCCAATAAAAATTCGCAGTCTAATTGCGACGCGCGTACACACCGCGCACACTATCATACACACAGACACACACACAGACACACAGACACACTTCTGTACATTGTGTTCTTTTAGGGAAAACAAAACTTCGATCTTGTCAACAGAGAAGATGCTATGATTTATTGTTCATAATGTCCAGCGATAATTAAAACGAGCAATTACCGATTAATTTGTATCTGATAAAAATTTAGTCGGTCTTCGTTTCCCGGTGATTCCTATAATTTCTAACTACTCGTTCCACCGAGAGAGAATAAAAATAAAAATACGCTTGGCTATTTTGTTTATTTTACGCCGACGCTGTCCGACGATTGGAAATTACCTCCCGCACCCGGAAACGAGGACTGTCCGATGGAAACAGGCGAATCAGAGTGGAATAATACCTCGTTGAACCTAGATCACCGATCCACGGTTTCATTTCGCCCGTCGACGGGAAGACGCGGGCTCGAAACGACTTGGACGCATGGTCCAGTGCCAGGTCGTGACATAATCGACGAATCAGCCTCTCTCGATCATCGCGCTCTTCCCGTCGAGCATAATAGACAAACGTTTATTCGGTTCCCGTGCGAATTTTCTTCTACTATTGTCGCAAAATAAATCTCACAAGCCTGAATCATAAACAGCGACTTGCTTAATCAGCGATACCCATCTGACTTTCGATATTCAATCTGTGTTTAACGATGTCCTTTTTTTTTAAATATAAACCGATACGAGAATACCATATCGCAACAACTCTTGTTAAATCGAATAAAACGTTTTACTTCTACAATCATCGTCGATCGAGTCTGATGATTTTCGAGAGTAAGGGTCGGTCGGTTTATCAACCCCCGGTAATAATTTTCACCTAAGAAATCGAATTCCCGTGGCAGAGCTCCCTCTCATTAACGCATTCCTCTCGCGAGTCGTCCACCAGGTGGTACGATAATGCACACAGGTGAATTCTGGCGGCGAATTAATAGCCCATCGGGCACGGAACGGTTCTATAAATAATCATCGATGTCCGCGACCGTGTTGCGTGTCAGAGAGGGTTACAGAGTCGCCTAAGAAGCCGCTGCGGCAGCGCGCTTCTCCGACAGAGAACAACCGACTCTCCTCTTTCTCTCTCTCTCTGTTTCCCCTTTTCACGGTTTCTCCCTCTTTCCACCCCTGTGCGTCGCGACGCCAACGACCGCGTTCAACCCTCGTAAAAATAAGGAGGAGGTGTGCGGGACGGAGGGAGAAGGGTGTACGATCGTGAATCGGGTGACGTGTATCTTGACGAGGGGACACGAGCATTCGTCGACTTCGTCGTGGTCAGGTAGGCAGAGAGGAAGAGGAGACTGGAGGCCGACGAGTGGAGGCCGACGAGGGGGTGGGGATGGAGCCGGAGCAACGTGGACGCGCCTCGCGAGCGTCGTCGACGTCCAGCCTCGGCCGCGAGGTACGTTGCGGATGCCAGTACTACCAGAGCGACTCGCTTCTGCCGGAACGACGTGCTCTCCACGGTAGGCCGCCGTCCAGGACCATGCACCAGCCACCTGCGGTCCGCTGCAGGTCAGTAACGAGTCCCACGTCTCACCCTGCCGCGGCCGGCTGCTGATCGCATTCCGAACCACCGGCCAAGGCTCGCAATTAAGATCGGGACACCTATCGATGCAACCGAAACGCGAGCGTCGTATCGCAAATTTTGCGCATGTCTGGCTAAAAACAGCGTGTGATGCTTTCGCTTTTCGATCGCGAGCTCGTTACTTCCCGACGGAGTATACGATCCTAATTGCGTCCCCACTTCGGCCGTCGAGTGATAATTCTGTGCCGATGTAAACACGTTTATTTCCGAGCGACTAGCTACCAACGGTGTACCGAAAGTAATTAGACGTTTGCGAAACGAAATCGAGGACGGCAGAGGGTGGTTCTTGATGTTCCAAGGGCTAATGTTTTGCATGTAGGGTGCTCGGCTCGCGAGCGGCTCGAGTGCTACTCTGGTGCATGTGGGACAGTGCGCAATCGGCCCTTTTCGGGGACAAAAATCAGGCGACGAGCCGAGTCTCGTGGATAAATGCTTCCCGTATGCGCGTTCCGCGTGATGATAAAATGGTCGGACACCGGGTCTCGGCTGATTCGAAGGAAATACCAGTAATTCAGGCCAGTCCATTCGTTTCGCGGACGTACGACCGTCGCTTCCGATAGGCATCCGCGACACGCGCCCGGAGAGTGTTAGCTGAGATTGTCGTATAGGTTACACGATTTCGACTATGCTCGCGAACCACCGCAGCTATTTAAGGTTCGCCCGGCTGGCTATACATAGAATCCTCGGTCAGCTCGGTTCCGCGTACAGAATGCTCTTCTGTCTCTCCCTGTCTCTATCTTCCTCGCGTATGAATACCTCTCGTTGAACCATACTCCGCATGTACACAAGAAAATTGTCTATAGTACTTCTGCAACCGCTTTTATTTTACGTATTCTTATATTTCTATATTCTATTATGATTGAGGATTCTTGGGAACGACCGAAAATGAACCGATGTCGAATGATTCCGTAGTTGGAGCATGCTTAGATTAAGGATGTATTGGCTATACAG